TCTCTCTCTCTGTCTCCCTCCCTCCCTTCCTCCCTCTCTCTTTCTCTCTCTCTCTTTCTCCCTCTTCCTCTGTCTCCCCTTTCTTTTCTTTGACCGCTTCAGATGGGATTGAGGTTCAGGTGTCACCCATTGCCCCTGTAACTTCCTCTGTTTATATAGACTTCTGCTTGCTCACCTAAATTATGTGACAGTTTCCCCCTTTCCATACAAGATCATTAAGCCATAACAAAATACTCCCAGGATTTTGGTCTAGTTAGATTCCCTTTGTGAACCCAAGTGCTGATAAGATTCAGAAGGGACAATATGTTATTTCACCTTATTATTAGTGAACAGTTTATCCTTGTTTATCCATTATGTTTGTTCACTCATGCTTACCTTTTAATATTTATCTTAACTCATGGGTTTCAACTTCAAAGTTTGTATGCAGCTTTGGTCTTTTTATCAGGAATGTTTGGGAACCCTCTGTTTCATTAAGGGCACATTATTTCTCCTGTAGGATTATACTCAGTTTTGCTGGGTAAATCATTCTTGATTGTAAGCCTAGATCCTTTTCCTTCTTGGCTAGCATATTTCAAGCTCTTGGCTGCTTTATGGTGATGGATGCTAAATCCTGTGTGATCCTTACTGTCGTTTGGAATTAGGGCTAAGATTAGAAGCAGAATTAAGGTTAGAGATAGGGTTAGTATTTGGATTCTTTATTTCTGGCTGTTTGTAGTACTTTTTCTTGGATCTGGAAGCTCTGGACTTTGGCTGTTATTACCTGGGAGTTTTCATTTGGAGGTTTCTTTTAGAAGGTGACAGGCAGATTTTTTTTTTCTAATTCTACTTTGCCGCTGTGGTTTTAAGGGCACTGGACAGTTTTATTTTATGATTTCTTAAAATATGTTAATGTCTAGATTCTTTTCGTTTGGTCACAGCTTTCAGGTAGTCCCCTAATTCTTAAATTATCTCTCATTAATCTGTTAAGATACCTTACATTTTGTTTTTTTCTTTTGAGTTTTCTGATTTGTTTGAAAATATTTATTATGGTCTCATGTATTCGTTAGCTTCTTTTTGGTCCATTATAATTTTCAGGAAATTTGTTGTCTAGGCAAAGTTTTGTCCTTGTGCCAAGATGTTAATTCCTTTTCCAATTCTTTCTTCTATAACTCCCATTTCTTTTGTTGCTTTCTCGGGATATTGAGTCTGAATTAGAATGTGGGTTCCTTCAATGTGGGAACTATTTTTTCCTTTCTTGTATCCGCAGCAAGCACAGTGCCTGGCATATAGTAGGTGCTTACTAATGTTTGTTAACTGACTGATTCTGGACCAATTAATTAAACACATTTTTTTTAAGCTTTAGTTTACACCAGATAGTGTGCTAGGCTTGGTGATTCAAAGAAAAAAAAAAGAAAACTTCTCTGTTTCTCAGTTTCCTCATTTGTAAAATGGTACCAGTACCACTGGGACTACCTCCCTCACAGGTTTGAGGGGTTGTTTGTTTGTCTGACTTCATTTGCATTTCATTCACCTCCCAGGGTAGAACCTCTCTTCTTGTTTCAGAGGAGCAGGACCTCTGAAATTTATAGAATTTTGAGAGTTATTTGGGACACTGAGAAGTTATATGTTACAGGCAGACCTTGAACCCAGCACTTCCTGATTATCAAGAGAATCAAATGAAATCATTAATTTAAAGACATGCTGGATTTGGAGTCAGGAAAATCAGGGTTCATATCCCATCTCAGGGACTTCCTAGTAATGTGACCCGAAGACTGGGCCTCAGTTTCCTTATCTGTAAAGTGATGGATGTTGGACTTGATGACCTCCAAGGTCTCGTCCATCTCTAACTGATGATTCCATAAGTGCATTGCAAACCTTAAAATGTTATACAATGATCAGCTCCTTGCTTCTCTTAGAAGTTTTCTCAAGGCTTCATCCAAGTGCCACCTTCTACATAAGGCCTTTCTCCGTCCCTCCAGCTGCTACTGCCACTCCCTGAATATTTGTTATATTTATTTTATAAAATGTACATGTTGTCTCCTCGGATGGAAGATGTGTCCTTTGAGGGCGTGGTTCGCTTTTGTGTCAGGGTCCCCAGCATCTAGCATAGTACCTGGAACATAATGAATACTTAATAAATGCTTGCTGATTGATTGAGCTATTGCTATTTGATTCTGCGTGTAGACCTATTGTGCTGCCATCTTATGGAGGTTGTGGTATTAGACAGTAATGGATTTGTAAGGATGATTAGGAGATGAGCTAAGTGTGTTTATCCTGAGCCCAGAGGACATCTAGAGCCAATGCACACAGGACTGGGTGAGACTTGGTGTACTTGGCTGTTAGCTAACTGGCTCCATTTATCTCTCCTGCTTGGCCAAAATGAGCTGAAGCCCATTTGATCAGACTGCCTTTAGATTAATAACAAAAATGTATAATGAGTGGATGAAAAAGCATTAAATGCACGTGTGCTGAGTACTGTGCTACACACGGTTTGGTGGGGGGGGGAATCTAAATATGAAAGTAAGGACAATTCGTGTCTTCAAGGAACTTCCATACTTATGGGAGAGACAACACATATGGGGGGATGTGGCCAGGGAAAATTATTGTGGTTTAGAAATTTACTGGGATGCTGAGTAGAATCCTAGGGGAAGAGATTGATATATCCTTTCCAGTTGTGGTGGCATTAGTGATTTAATTAATTAGTCAGTTAATTGAGCGAAGATGGAGAAGAGTCAAGTGGAGTATGTCTAGGAGCACCTAGATTCGGTGGGCTGGGTGTGAGCCACTCACCAATCAGGAGGGGTTGGTGGAAATTGCAGAATTGAAAGGGTTCCCTTCCAGGGCATAGCCCCTGGGCCAAGGGTGCAGTGGTAGCTGGGGGGCTGGGGAGAAGATGCCCATTGTTGTTTGCAGGTTATTGGTCCATACCAGAAGGGACTCAACTCTTGGGGTTTTGGAATCTTGGGGACTTGATTTATTGCCTGAGAAACCGTGTAGTAACATCAGTTATGTTAAGCTCCTCTTCCATTTATTTCACCTGGTGAGTAACCTCCTTTCTAATGGTATCCCTTAAAGATCCAGACCCCTACAAGGCTAAGCGAGATGGCATGCATGAGGGAATTGTGATTGTCTCCGACTGCCTACAGAAGATTCCAAGGAATCACTCTCATTACAAGAAAATTCAAGTTCAACTCTCTCTATTGTTCTTTAGGGTTTTGAATACAGCCGCTCTGGAAATCCCACACGGAATTGCTTGGAGAAGGCGGTGGCAGCTCTGGATGGTGCTAAATACTGTGAGCACTCTATCTTTTCAAAATGGAGTCGCAGGTCGATCCGTAAATGTGGATAGCGCTACCGAACATTTGAGCAGGAGCAGGCCTTTAGTGGTTGTCTGGTCCAGACGTTCTTAACCTGGGGTCTTAGAACTTTTTTAATAGGTTGATAGCTATATTTCAATAAAATTACCATTTTATTTTATGTCTTTCAAAATTTCCGAGACAGGATTTCTGTATAGACTTCCCTAATTTGCCATAGTGGTCTATGACACACAAAAAATGGCTAAGAGCTCCTGGTCTAGTCCAGCTTCTTCCTTTTAAAGAGGCGAAAACGGGTGCAGAGAGGGGATGTAACTGGTCTGTGGGCAGACTAGACATTAGTACATTTTAAATTTGAATTGGATCTTTCACAACATTTGACTCATCTTTGGAAAAGTTAAAAAGAAACACAAAAAAGGTCATGCAAATTTGCCCTGTTTTTGAAATTGCCAGTGGATGGAGAGGCCTTATAGGAAAGTGCAGAAGATGCTGGACCTGGTCAAGGAAGTCAGCAAGATTGTGGTTCAGATCTTACTTCTGCTTCTTCCTTATTGTGTGATAATGAGAACTCCCCTAGCTCTGACAAGCCTCCATTTCCCCATCCAACATCACATAACCTGTAGCACTGACCTCACCACAGTGTTCTCAGAATCAAGGGAGATCATGTATGTAAAGTATTCTGCAAACATCAAAGTCTTGAAATCAATTCGGGAAGTATTTTAAAATTAAATTTTCTTTAGAAATACTATGAATTTGAGAAGCATCAACAAATAAATATTTCCATATGTAAAGAAGAGAGGGTTGTATATGAAACCAAGAATATCAATTATGTATACCTTTTTCAAAGTATATATTGAATTTAACATGGTAGTGCCAACACTGCCCTGCTTTCAACAAGCATTTATTCAGCACCTTCTGTGTGCCAGGTACCGTACTAGGTACTGGAGATACAAAGACAAAAATGAAAGAGTAAGTGCCCTATAGGAGCTTTCCTCCAGACCTTAGCACAGCACCTGGCACATAGTAGGTGTTTAACAAGTGTTTATTGACTACATTCTACTATGTGAAAACACATATACTTGAAAACACATATACTCAGAGAAGTAAACACAAAAGAGTGGGTGGAGGGGGATCAGGGGAGACCTTTATCTCTAGCAGCTCCTATTGCATCTTGCCATCACTTTCCTAAGTCTCATGAAATTATTAAGACCATATAATAATATGATCTTAGGTCCAACCCCTGTGGCTCCTCTTGTCCCATATTCTCCTTCCAACAGGGACATCAAGGTGTGTGATTAGAAGGACCTAAAGTAAACCTTAAAGTTTAGGGGTCATCACCCTAAGTATCTTAACTTTCTAGGAAGTAGATTAATCATTTTCCATTATTTTATCATTTTTGGAAAATGAAGGTGGTAAGTTAAGGTGGAAAAGTGACTAAGATTTGACATTGTTATATCTCCCTCATTCATTACATCAATTTCTCAGCATCCCCTTGATCAGGTGGCACAGTGGATAGAGTGCTGGACTTTAAGTCAAGGAAGACCTGAGTTCAAATCCTGGCTCAGACCGCCCGCTAGCTATGTGACTTTGGCCATGTCACTTAATGTCTCTGTGCCCAAGCTACTTCTTTTGGAAAATGAGGCCTATAGGTCAGATGACTGCGAGGTTCCCTTCCAGTTTTCTATCTAGAACTCAGGCTCTAATGCTAAGTGCAGTTCATATTTTTGTATCATGGACTATTTGTCTCTGTTCTGACTTGGGTTCCATGTTAGGTCTGGCCTTTGCCTCAGGCTTAGCAGCCACATTGAACATCACTCATCTCTTGAAGGCTGGGGACCATATCATCTGTACGGATGATGTATACGGAGGTAAGAAACATGCCCACGGCTTTTGGAATCCCTATTTGTGCTTTGGCTCTCTGTATCCTAAGAGGTGCTGAAACTGATTCATGTTCAGAAGGTTGTTGTCCGATGGAATGTTGTCCTCCCTGGACCTGTGCCTCCCACATCACCTCAGACACAGTAGAACCTCCTCCTGATGCCAGGCACTTAACCTGCCTGTATTTTGGAAAAGTCTCTGAGACCGTAAGCCAAGCTTCACTGGCAGAGGGAGTTCCATTAATCCCAGGTCCAGTCTCCAATGCTGACCACTCCATAAAAATGAGGGCTTTTCAAACAAGTCTTTAAGGAGAGAGAAGCAACACTGACTTGTCCGAGAATGAACTCTGCCCTGGAGAGGACAGTGTTTGTCAGTTACCTTGCTGCCTTGTGGGTTGGTATTGTTACCATGGTGGTGGTGGTGGTGGTGATGAGGATGGTGGTGGTGGTGGTGGTGATGATGATGGTGGTGATGGTGGTGATGATGGTGATGGTGGTGATGATGATGATGTTGGTGGTGGTGGCGGTGGTGATGATGGTGGTGATGATGATGATGTTGGTGGTGATGGTGGTGGTGGTGGTGATGGTGGTGGTGGTGGTGATGATGATGGTGATGGTGGTGGTGATGATGTTGGTGGTGATGATGATGGTGGTGGTGATGGTGGTGGTGATGATGATGATGTTGGTGGTGGCGGTGGTGGTGATGGTGATGATGGTGACATTCAAGAGTCTTTTCTGGTTTTCCCTTGTAACAAAGCCAGTTCAAACAGAACAAAGTTCAGATATGTTCTTTTTTGGAAGTGTCAGGGAGGAAGGGAGATTTTGCCAAAGTTCTTCAGTGGCAATGTACTGAATATCCCCTCCCTTCAATTACTAGTTGCATGACTTTAAGAATAGTAGCATTATCATCTCATTTGCCTTGGGCAAGCCACTCTGTGCCTCAGTTTCTTCACCTATAAAATGGAGGGCGAGGGTTGGTCTAGAAGGTCCCTAAGGTCCATGCTTGCTTTGAGATCCATGATCTTACGAGCCAAATGCACAAAATGGAGAAGGAAATGTGAAAATTTCACCCTTGGCCACTAGAATTTGAAGCATCATAATAAATTATGAATTCTTATTGATGATTTTCTTGGATTTCTCATTCTTAGGTATCCTGTTATTTTTAGGATGAGATTTATACAGTGAGAAACATTGAGGAGGTTGCTGATAAAGTAATTTTTTTCTGGAGATGAGCATATCTTTGGCATGCACAAAATCCAATACTCAACAATCTGTTTACAATCCAGATGTTTCTAAGTAGGATGATTTCAGGTCTTTGATAGGGAGCATTGGAAAAACGTCTCAGTTACGATCAGTTGAGTGTGGCTGCTGACTTAGTGAAGCCGCGCAGTTATATGAGATCAAGCCAGTCTCATTGTAAACAGGAGCCTACATTATTTATGGGCTAAGACCTTCTGAGGGGAATGCCAGGCTCATTGAGAAAAGGACAGAGGGAAGGAGACATGGACTTTTTTCTTCCTGTTACTGAAGTAGATATTTGGGCACTGATGTTATTTTTAAAACGTCCCTGAGACATGAATTGTAGTTATTTTCAATTCAAGAAACATGAAGAAATTCTTCATGTTTGTGTGTCCCTCTGGATCAGGGAGCACTGTGGAAGTTCTCAAGGGGTGGAAGTGAGCCCCCCAGCCCCGCACCCCTCCCTACCCCATCCCCAGCCCCAGTGGAAGGAAAGCTGGGGTCAGAAGAACTCCCCCCTGCCGCTTCCTACCTAAATGACCACGGGCAAATCACTTCATCTTTATGGGCCTCAGTTTCCTCAATTATAAAATGAGGGGGTTGGGTTAGATGGTCTCTAAGGTTTCTTCTAGTCTGCAGATATGATCTTGCATGTTTTTGAGGAAAAAGTACATTCAGTGTTCATTACTTTCAGCTTTTAAATTTTATAATATCTTTCTGCCCACCCCCATTCCCAGCTGGCTAAGTTTGAAGTAACAAAATTCAAAATAAACAAAACCTGCCATTTTTATATTTTTGTGCACAAGCGTAGACTTACCTGTGCTTGTGTGTTTAAAAAGGTTTTTTTTATCATTGATTTTTGCTTTTATATCACTTTCATTTCCAAACAAATCTACCCCTTGTGTGTTTCCCCTCAACCCTAAAATATACCCCTTGTTACAATGAATTAAAACAAATGAGCCAACATCCCGCTTGAGGCTGACCCAACAGCATAGCCCCGGTGTTTTCCAGGTGCTTTCCAGGTGAATGCCAGTTTCCATGAATCTTGCAGGGCTGGGCTGGGAGATGCTGCAGGGGAGCGGATTTAGCCCTAGACTGGGAGATGTTCGGAACTCGGCCTTTTCCATGTTCAATTGGGTCTTTTTCTGCTGCAGGGACAAACAGGTACTTCCGGCGTGTAGCCTCTGAGTTGGGTTTGAAGATTTCTTTTGTTGACTGTTCCAAACTGAAGCTCCTGGAGGCTGCAATCACACCAGAAACCAGGGTAAGGACTGGGGCTCTGGTGTCTTTTCCGCTCTCGCTCTGCTTTCTCTCCCCGTCTCTCTCTTTAGTGTGAGGTGTCATCGTTCTAGAGGCTTTGGTTTCAATCAAGAAAACAGCTCCCAATGATAACCAGAATTTTTCTTATTGATTGAAGAGCGTCTCTTCCTGTCGAAGGACTTTTGTTTCTTTTTAAATCTGCCTGCCCCCTGGTTTCTAGCATGGGCAACTTGATGGGCTCCCCTCAACCACTTTTTTAAGATGTAAAGACAGAATGTCCAGGTACTAGAATTTTTAAGTTGCTGGCCCTTCCAGGGTGTCTCAGCAGAGCCAGAATTAGCTGTGGGTCAATTGGGTTTTGCCTCAGGTAGGATTCTTGCTCGAGGACGAGGCATTCTGGGCAGCTTGCTGTGAAGTTCTTTCTGGGGTGTGGGTTCATCTGCCCCTTGTGACTCTGGAACAGGGCAGCAGGCAGCTGATGAAGGCACCTCCTCCCAAGAAGAAAGAGAAATCTCTGTAACAAATAAACACCCTCGAGCAAAGGCAGTTCTCACATTGGCCATGTCCAAAAAAGCATGTTGCATTCTGCCTCTTATCGGGAGGAGTAGAGTGGGTGTCAGCATCAGACCTCTGGCATCCTGACTGGTCACTGCGCTGATCAGAGCGCATCTGTAGAGTGTCTTGTTAGAGGATAGATCGTTCTCTGATTCTGCTCTCTTCGTCCTGTAACAGTTCAGGTACATCTCCCTGGGTTTCTCTTCTCATTCTCCTCTTCCTCCCCTTCTCTCTTCTCTTCTTTCTCCCCTCCTTTCTCTTCTCCTCCCCTTCCCTCTTCTTTTCTTCTTTTTGTTCTGTCTCTGTCTCTCTCCTCTCCTCTCTCCTCTCTCTCCCCTCTCTTTTTTCTGCCCCTCCCCTTTCTCTCACCTCACCCTGGGTTACTTTTCTTGATGTCTCCCCGCCCCTGTGATGGGGGCAGGGGAGGGAAGGAGGCTCACCATATTGGTGCCAGACTTAGTATGGGCACCTGATCAGCTTTACCCCTATCACAGCTTAGAACTCCTGAATCAAGCATTCCGCCAGCCTCAGCCTCCCCCCGTAGTAGCAATTGCAGGCTTATGTTACCATGTTTGGCACCTTTAGTTGCTTTTCCCAGCACAATTCCATTATATTCATATGCCATAATTTGTTCAGCTGTTCCCCAACTGATTGGCACCCCATTAGTTTCTAGTTCTTTGTCACTGCGAAAAGAGCTGCTATAAATATTTTTAGATGTGTGGGTCCTTTTCTCTTTACTTTTATCTTTTCAAGGTAAAGGCCTTATAGTGGTATTTCTGGGTCAAAGGCGATGCATGGCTGAGTGACTTTTGGGGTACATTTCTAAATTTCTTTCCAGAATGGCTGGGCTAATTCACAGCTCTACCAACACTGCATTAATGTTGTGGCCTTCCTACCGTCCCCCTCCAGTAATTGCCCTTCACCTTTTTTGTCGCCTTTAACCGTCATGTGGGTATGAGGCGGACCTCAGAGGTGTTATCATTGGTACTTCTCCATTACTGACTCGGAGCATTTTTTCCCCATGTGGTTGTTGGTAGCTTTTGAGAACTGCCTCTTCATATCCTTTGCCCATTTACCTATTGGAGAATTGCTCTTGGTCTTTTTTTTTTTTTTTTTTTGCCAGGCAATGGGGTTAAGTGACTTACCCAGGGTCACACAGCTAGTAAGTGTTATGTGTCTGAGGCTGGATTTGAACTCAGGTCCTCCTGACTCCAGGGCCACTGCTCAGTCCATTGCACCACCTGGCTGCTCCTTGCTCTTGTTCTTAAATATTCGAATCAATTCCCTCTAATTCTGGAGTAGAGATTTTGTCCCATGTTCAACAAATTTCAAATATTGGCATACAAAGAGAAAGATCTGGGTTTCTGTGTGGAGGAAACTCAAACTTTGAGATTAGATTTATAGGCTCAATTCTTGGGGCAAACTCACTTTTTTCCTTGATGAGGTAACTTCTCTGTGGGCATTAGCTCAGTCTTCCTTACCTTATAAATGGAAAGGGCCTATCATCTTTTCCTTTTGGAAAGAGAAGTCAGGAGCTAGGTCAGCTCCAGCTGAGGAAGACCACTTCCCACGAGCCATTGCTCTTTTAGACCCACTCCCCTCTGCTTTATAGGCATCCATCCAGGCTGGGCTGCCTGTGTATCCCCAGGCTTCCCAGATGCATATTTTGAATTCTAGCATAATTGATACCTTTTAAGCAACCAACCAACTGATCAGCAAGCATTTATTAAGCACCTACTGTGTTCCAGAGACTATTCTGGGCATTGAGGAAACAAAGACATAACTGAAACTAACCTTGCCCTTCAGGAAACAACATGTATGCATGTAATTATATATAAAATATATAAACAGAATAAATGCTTTTTGAAGAGATGTTTAATATTTTTTGTGCTGTTCCCCTCCCCCTTTTGATGCTACGGAAGTGCATCTGTGCACCTCACTGCCCAGGATGATGTCATTCTCAACCAGCATTTGTGTTTTTGGAATGTGCCCTCCATGGAGAGAGAAGATTGGGGTCATGTTAACATCAATTGACTACATTCATTGAATTATGTTTCTTTCAGCTTGTCTGGATTGAAACTCCCACAAACCCCGTCTTGAAAGTCGTCGACATTGAGGGCTGTGCCCAAGTGGTCCGTAATCATGAAATTATTTTAGTCGTAGATAACACTTTCATGTCAGCCTATTTCCAGGTAAGTGAAAACTCACATGTTTACACAGCTGTTTATATAGTTCACAGTTTACACAAACTTTTTATTTATTAAAAAGATATACATACATATATGTATATATATGCATATATAAACTTGAAAATGCTACATAAATGCTAGCTATTGTTATTATATTAGAGAGATTATGATCGCTGCTGTTATAGTACTCATTAAGTCGATTAACTAATAGTATTTTGAAATAGTATTACACATATTTATGAGAGTTAACATCTAACGTACAGCACTTTCTCTTTAAGAAAAGGGGGGAAAGGGACAATTTATAGCAATATTTTTAACCTCATGACCAAAACTTGAACAAGTCTTTTTGGGCTGGAAATACTATTTATTGAATAATTCTTATGGTGCACCTCCCCAAAGAAAGGATCATTATTAAGAGGCAGACCGGAAGCCAGCAGCAATCTGAAATCCTTAGACGGGACTCATCAGCCATGTCTGAAAGATAGATGAACTCTTTTCAGAATGCCAGATGACAGCTGAGCTTGGTGGGAGAGAGAGAGGCTGATGTAGTCAACAGGACACTGGACTTTGAATTAGGGAGACCTGGCTTCAGATTCTCCCCCAGATACTTTGGACATGTCACTTCAGCATTCTGTGCCTCAGTTTCCTCATCTGTAAACGAGGAGGTTACACCTGATGACCTCTAAAGTCTAAATCTTGGATAGTATGAAATCCGTGGAATACTCTCTAGTGAGCCGGCAGCCTTGAAGCTCCAGCCGCCTTGGGCTCCTTAGTGTCTGCTCAGTGTTAGAACAAAGCTCAGTATTAGAAGATTTAATGACTGCTTGACTTATTACCTATTCTTCTTCATCAGAAATCATCATTTTTCAAATTAATTAGGAAGCGCTATATATAGTCGTAAGCTTTATTAAAAAGGTGGAAAGCTTTCTACAATCTGAAGTGAAACCAGAGCGTAAATCTTGCACCTTTTTCTAATGTCAAGTCTTCATGGAACATTAGCACACAGTGAAAGCCGTATATTCTTTTCCTGTTCGCAGTTTTGTCTCCTTTAATGCTCTTAACTAACTAGGCTGCCAAAAACAGCACCACATATTGGACGTGAGCACTGACTTTGGAGTTGAAACAAAACTGGGTTTGACCTCTAGCACTGCCGTATGACTTTGGGCAATCTTGTCCTCCGTTTGAGACTTAGTATTCTCATCTGGAAAATGGAGATGACCACCCTTGCACACATGTCTTTCAGAGTAACTGTGGAGCCCTTTAGGAATTGGAGGTATGGTGTGGGCATTTATTCCAGAGAGGAAGTGGGGCATAGTGGAGAAAGACTGGTCATTGAGTCAAGAAGCTGACCTGAATTTGAGTCTTCTTTACCAAATACTGACTGTGTGACCCTGGCCATGTCTTGCAAACTCTCAGTACCCTGAGATTATAAGTTATAGACGGCTGCCAAATGGCACCAGTGGAAGGAATTTCCACACCTGAGAGTTTCCTACATGGCCAAGGTCTCAAATCTGGTCCCCCACTAAATCAAAACAAACCAACCAAACAAACAAACCCCCCCCCAAATCTCCTGTGTCTGTTTTAAATGAACCAGTTTCCATCCCATGTGAACAAAGAGCGAGTCCTTGGCCTCCTGAATTACCCTGCTGCTGAGAGTCCCAAGCGTCAGAGCACTGAGCCCCTTTTATTGGGCCTTGACCACCTTGGTAGAGCCCTCAGATAGGTTTCATGGTTTACTTCAGAGAAGGCAAAGCCTGATGATGATTAATAACTAACTCTGAGTCAACTTTGTGGTTAATGACTTTAAACATGGAAGTGCATTCCAGCATGGTAGGGCTCCAGTTGCCATAAAAGAATTTTTATAGTGATCCTGCCAGTGCTGCAGGGCTTAATTCTAAGGGTCATCAAGGCTCTTCTTAGAATTTTGCACAGGACCAGGAAAGATATAGTCGATTGATTTCTTCACTAATATACCCCAGGGACTAAACCCTCTCCTTGTAGAGCCAGTATGGAAGAAATCCAGGGAGAACCACTCTGAAAGTCAAGAAGGCCTAGTTTCAAGTTGCCTGTATGATGGTAGGCAAATCAATTTGTCAGGACCCCCAGGTAGCTAGCTTTCTCTAAAGAGCCCCTGCAGGCCAGGTACTAAGAGCATTGATGGACGGACTTTAACTTCTCAGGAGTTCCCTGTGCCAGTGAGATTTCAAAGCTTGTCCAAAAAGCTCCAAACAGCAAAATCTTACCCGTAGGGGATGTCTGATGGTTTTATTGTAAAATGTGCCTTTTCTTTGGTTGCTCTGAACACAGTCATTTGAAGCCCAGAAGGTTAACAACGAATGATCTATTTCTTAATAAACATCTTTAGAGAAAGCTAGCTGAGTTTGGGTTTGATGGGACTAGTGTAGTGAAAGAGTACTTAGAATAGTGAAACAAGCCTCTTACCAAAGTGTGAATAATCTTGGACAGTAGTATGAGGTTGGAATGAGGGAAAGCCTCTTCAGCTGGTTGGTTTTTACACTTGGCTTTGAGACTGTCTGAGAGTTAGTAACAACTGTTTGGTGCTTTTATTAAAAGAAGAAAAATGACCTTCGGTCCCTGACACTGTCTCAGATGCGATTGTTGATCAAGACAAAAGTGGGATCAAAAAACTTATGTTCTTAGGCCTTTAACTGTCCTTTCAAAACCAATCATTTAGAAATTCTTGGAAATAAGCATAATAAGGTCCCAAGTCTATGTGTTTGAGTATATATGTGTATGTTGATGGATATCTATGTATATGTGTGTATGTATATATAAAACATAATACATCCATACACACATATGCGTATATATCCACACTTAATTGTAGCTTTCTTGGAGGGGAGGGGAGGAAGGGAGAAAGATAAAGTAAAAAGTGCACAGCAGAGAACAAAAGAAAACCTACAAGGAAACAAAGAAAAGCTGGGCAAATTTGAAAACAATGTAGCAGTTATTATATAGGTTTTCTTGAAATGGAAATTTAAGTTTAAATAAATATAAAAATTAGGCAAAAAGAAAGACATTCTTGTCTTCATCCTTGGCTCAGGTCAGGTGCCACGTCATCTTTGAGACCTTCTTGGGTCCCTCCACGTGCCAGCGTTGTTACCCTGCCCAAGTGACGTATTCTATTTTCTGTGGTCCTGTCCCAGCCCCTTCACCCCGAGAATGTAAACTCTCTGAAGGAGGGGAGCCACCTTGTTTCCCGTCTTTGCATCCAGGGTGCTTGGCTCTTAGTAGGCACTTTTTATGACTATGAAAAGTACTTGGCTCTTAGTAGGCATATGTTTATGACTAAATTAATTGAATGAACTCTGCTGAAGAGGCCAGATCTGGGGGCGAAAGGGGAGAGGAGAGGAAACTCTATATGGAAAAAGGTGGGAAATAATTCAACTTTAATATCTCTGTGTTACTAAACGGCTGCCTAAGATGGCCTTTCTGAAAGCTGGTGGAACAACGCCGTCTTGATAATCCCCCCCTCAGCTCCCTTCAGGCCCACACTCTTCCAAATTGAAACAGTAACCTTGTGTTCCATTTCAGCGTCCTTTGGATCTGGGAGCTGACATCTGCATGTATTCAGCCTCAAAGTATATGAATGGTAAGTATGAACATACCCTCCAGTTGGTTCTTCTCCATTGATAGCTGAAAATAGCCCAGAGCTTGACGTTTCAACTGCCATTTTTTTCCACGGTAATGTCAATTTTCCCCTCTCCCTCATCTGGAGTGAAAATAATGTACTGCTTTGGTCTGAATTTGGGATGACCTTTCTTTTCTCCTCTGGAAGAGGGAAGAGAATGATTTTATAAGGTGGAGAATGCTTGGTACTCGAAATAATGGAGTAATAGGTCAAAGGAGATAATATTTGTAAAAGAAAAAAAAAGTGTTTGCTACAGTGCCTGGTACATATCAGGCCCTGTATAAATGCTCATCCCCTTCTCCTTTCCCCCCTTCCCCTCCCTTGTTGTGGAAATTGGTAAGTAGAGAATTCTGGAGCTGAAGGGGCTTTGGACGTGGTCTCGTCGTAGAATCCCAGAGCTTTAGAGGGAGGGGGGACTTTGGTGGGCCAGCCCGACGCATGCCTGCACACTGTGCCCCGGCGTACTCTTAGTCAGCCTCTTCTTGAGTGGAGAGAGCCTTCACTGCCCCAGGCAGTCCAGTCTACTCTTCAGTGATTCTATGGCTGGGAAGTTTCTCCTGACATCAAGTGCAGACTTGCTTTATGAGATGCCTGATTTTGCTACTGGCTGCATCCAGATTGAACAAATCTAATTCACCTTCCAGGTTACAGCCCTTCACACACTTGTAGAGAGCCAGCCCATAGCCCTGCTCCCCAAAGGAAAGCCTCCCGGTTCTCTCCAATTATCCTTAGGTAGCCCGGGCTCAGGGCCCCTCCACCCATCTGACTTGCTCTCAGCTGGACTCTGCACTTACTAATGTCCTTCCTGAAATGAACTGAACACGGCCCCCTGCAGATCGGGGCCGACCCAGGCTGATGACCTCATTCTGTAGAAGAGGCCGCTTGGCGAGCTCCGGATCATTCCCTGAGCCCAGGCCAGGTCTCCTGAATCCTGCCTCGTGCCAGTTTCTCCCTCTTGGGCTGACTGCCCTGCCCCAACTTCTCCATATCTCTCGGAAGGGGTGAGCACAGGCAGCGTGGTTTGGTATTTTTATAGGTGGAGGGAAGAGATTGTTAACCTGGGGCTCCATGGGATTGGTTCACATCTGCTCATTGATTCTGGCCTTGCCTCTGTACAATTCAGTTGGAACAGGGCACCTTAGTTTGAGTATTTAGATAGGAAATGATATTTCCAAGATTCATGAGGGAAGGATTTTTTTAAAAGGCTATTTTTTTTTAAAAGCATGTTGATCTAAATGAAATTACCTACCCTTTCAAAAATGTGCTTTTTCCTAGCTACTTTTTTTTCACGTGTCTTTGCCACTGTTCAGTCATTTGCAATTGCTTTATTGAGCTTATTCTCTTCACTTGAATACCACACTTAACAGACTTAAAGTAAAGGAGACTCCACATCCATTTGTGTTATTTTCTTTCTTTCCCATCAGGCCACAGTGATGTTGTCATGGGTTTGGTTTCAACAAATTCTGAAAATCTCTTTAAAAGGCTCAGCTTCTTGCAGAATGGTAAGTATCTCATTTTGAAATTTGGGGACTAGATTCCCCTGTGCCACGGCCTCTTGTAGACTTCTGAAACCTACTTTTCTATTCAGTGTTGTAAGAGAGGATGCCTCATCTGTTTCTGTTTGCGCCTGTTTCGACTTGTCTTTTTGCATTCTTCCGTAGAGAAAAAAAAACAACAACCACTACCTTTTGCTTCTAAATTTTCAGGGGATTCTCACACTGGGAATCTCTCATACTGATGAAATTCTGGAAAGGGAGCATAAGAGGTGCCCTCAGGAGTGTATGTGGCATGGGGGGAGGGGTTGGGGGTGGAAGGATGTGATGGGCAACCAGAATATTATAATTGTAGTGTACTCTGGCATGCCCTGTGGATTAGGAGGTAACTGTTGACTTGTATAGAGATTTTTTTTTAACCTTTAAAAGCATGAGCTGGCTTTGTAGACAGCCAAGAAGACTTGGGTTTCATGTCCTGCCTCTGACATATACTGGCAAGGTTGCTTTACCTGTTAGGGCTCCAGGCCTGTGGTATCAAACTCAAGTGGAAATAGGGGCCACTAAACCATTCATAGTAATCCTTGTAAGAAGCAGATTGGCTTAGAAAACCACATATTAACATCATCTATTTTCTATTGTATTTTTATTTTGTTAACTATTTCCCAATTACATTTTAATCTGATCTGTGGTGTTTGAGTACCAAATATGTGCTCTAAACTACTCTTTCAAACTGTAAGTAGTAGAAAAGGTGCCAGGTATCCCTGCGTTGGTAGAGGGCATTCCTCTCCTGGGATTTCCATATACCAATGAGCTCACATGTCCAGCCCCCCTACCAGTCCCCAGCTTAGGGTCACCATCTAGGTTAGTGATTATTTAAGGGAATCTGTTGCTTAAAGACTAAGACTTTTTTTAGTTCTAAAATTTCCTTTATAGTGCCTGCTTTAGGGTACCAAATACAGAGAGTTAATCATGATTTTTTCATTTTAAATGGTGGTGAAAGGAAGAGCTAATGTATTACCAACTATTTTCCTATTTCTTTTGTTCAGTTAATCTGGAATAGGGAGAAACTCTTGCCCTGCCCCTCCCCCCCCATTTGGACTTCATTTTATTTGCTTTGCTGTAGTTACCCCCATTGGACTTTCCATTGATGTTGTCATTGGCATTGGGTGTGTTGTTTCCCTGGGTCAGCTTCTTTCAGTCAGCATCTGTTCACGGTCCACAGTTCTGGAGGTGGAAGGAACTTCCAAAGCCATCTAATTGCAACCCACTCATTTTACAAAGAATTAAGGCCCAGGCTTATTAAATGACTTGTCCAAGGTCGTGTAGATAGTAAGCATCAGAGGTGGGGTTTGGAGTTCTCTGACCCCAGAGCCAGAGCTCTGCCCACTGGCCAACACTGCCTCCTACCTGCTTTCTGGGTTCCTCTGGATTCCTCGTGTACTGTTTTTCGGGGACGTAGTTGCTGCTACAGTCACCTAGCCCAGTTCGCTTGGACGTTCCCCAGGTGATTGGTACCCATTTTGTTCCCAGTTTGTTGGAAACAGTTTGCAGTGAAACTTTAGCTAATGAGTACCTAGTCATCTATTGCTATCTTTCCTCAAAGACAGGGAAGAGGTAATGAAAGAATAGAAATATCCTCTGGGAAAGGACTCATGAGAAAAAACCCCCTAAAATGGAATAGAAAGCCCCTAGAATTCCTTGCATGGGTGACAGCCACCACTTTTACCTTATTTTGGAAGCTTTAGGAGTGAAGCCCATCCCCCTGGGGAAGGGGGCAGGGGAGGGGGATTTTGAGATTCCTGCTGTTCCACAAGCAATATTACCTCGGTGGCCAGTTATTAATGCCCGAGAGTAAGAGACCATTTAACACTGTAATTAAGAGGCAAACAACCATTTTTCTCTATGCGAACTTTAGGATTTTGTAGATTACTGGATTGAAGATTTAGAGTCAAATAAGTAAAAGTGATACTGTAGTGATCTCATCCCAAAGCAGTGTAACATTTTGCATGTGTAGCACCCCCGCCTATTAAAAAAAAGGAACAGAAATCAATTTTCTCTCCTTCTCATTCTCCCAATTCATTAAAAAAGGAAGGAAGGAAAACCAAATTTCTTTTAATATACATAGTCAAACAGAAACATTCCCTCACTGGCTATATACCAAGATGTCTCATTCTGCACCCTAAATCCATCAACTCTCTGTGATGAATGCTATCTGTCATCACCGAGCCTTTGGAATCCCAGATACTCAATATATTGATTCTATTTCTTACAGCTTTCTAAGTTTGTTTATCAGTGGTATTGTTATTGTACCCTTGTACGTTGTATCTTCTAGTTTTTCTTCATGTCATTAAGGCTGTCACTTCCAATTTGGAAATTCCTTTTTCTACCCATTCATTGAGTTGGAGTGAATAGAGAGTCAGCCTTGAGATCAGGAGGAACTGAGTTCAAGTGCTGCCTTTAACACATACAGGCTACATGACCTTGGGCTAGTTTAACCTCTCTGTGCAGCTGAGCCTCTCTTTATTAGTGGAGAGATTTTCTTCCCTGGGAGTTCCCTATACTTATGAAATCACAGGATAAACAATAACCAAAAAAAAAGACCTATCAATTTATATCTTTTGGTAAAAGAGGAGGTTATGTTGTGTTGGTCTTCCATGTTTTCTGGTGAACCTTAAATCAAAACTCATGTTCAGACAAGTTTGTGTGAAGGTCACGTTCATACTCCGTTTCTGTGGGTTTCCCTTCACTCCTCCCAATGGTTTGTGTTTTCTTCTTTACTGAATTTCTTTAGCTTAGCTTAGCTCTGTGAGCAGGAACCCAGGTCGGTTTGGCGTCTACAGGATTTTGTCAACGTCGTCTTCTCTTCCTTTGGTGCTAATCCTGACTGTCTTCATCTCGCAGCCATCGGGGCTGTTCCGTCTCCTTTTGACTGTTACCTCTGCCTTCGTGGTCTGAAAACTTTGCCAATCCGGATGAAGCAACATTTTGAAAGTGGACTGGCAGTGGCCAAGTTCCTGGAGGTGAATCCTCGGGTGGAAAAGGTCATTTATCCCGGTGAGTTGTTTGGAGCTCTGAGCCAACATGACTTGGAGGAGGGCCTTCACATCAGGACTCTAGTCAATCAATCAATCGATCAATTCCTGAGGAGGAGCCTAACGGGCTAGCTTTCCCTTCTTTTATTGCTGGACCTGACATTTTCCTTTCCCATTATGTGCAGATAAAGATAGTTAATCTTAGTCTGTTTCTGAAACTGGCTCTTCTTTAGGTTTGCATTCATTTCTCCTTACTTTAGCTTTGAACTCTGACCTTATAGGTATGAACGAATGAATGAATGAATGAAAAATAATTTAAAAGTGCTTACTGTGTGCCACTTTCTTTTTCACTTTTTTCTTTCTCACTTTTGTCTTTATAGCCCCAGTACTTAGCCCAGGACATACCAAGACAAAAGGGAGAAAGAACCTGTCCTCATTGAGCTTTTAGTCTAACAGGAGGAGACATTACTTATAGGCAATTGGTGACCAAAGGAAAAAACTGTGTAGGGCCAGTGAGTGGATTCACAGGGCAGCCAAATGACACACTCTTTCCTAAAGGCAAGAGTGATAGTGATTTGACTACTGTGCCCAGTAATGAGCAGCTGGTTGTGAGGCAGAGAGGGCAGGGTTAGTGGACCTTGACAGAGAAGATAGGAAGATGGCTGGGAGGCGAAGCATGGTCTAGTCTAGGGCTGGGGACATCCAGTGGGCTAGGGGTGTGGGCTCACTCACTCACTCACTCCCTTGCTCACTTACTAACCAAGGTGTCATAGCTCCTGGCTGGATTATTTCCCTGGGGCCTGCTTGCGACCAGATCCACTGGCCATGGTGTATAAGCTTGCACACCACGGCCAGCGGATCTGGTCGCAAGCCCGGTACCCTACTGGAGCTGTCCAGGGCGGTAGGGCCTTGGTGTTGAAGTTACAGAACAGCAGACAACAGCAGCAGCAGCAATCCTACTCATTGGAATGATTAGTATTATTGGAGTCATCAGCAGCAGAAGGCATTGCAAATAGAGGGGTCCTGCCTCTGGCCCAAACTGGCCAGGTGACCTTAGCACGACGCTGCACTCTCCATTCTGATGGAGTCACAGAAAGAGTCACTCTGCTTTGAGAGAGGGCGGTTCCTCACCAGGGTTTCCTCCGTATTTGTGATGTCACAAATGGGCATAGGTCCAATCCCTATCCCTCAGCAGTTAGTCGGTCAATAAGCATTTATTAATTAATTAATAAGCATTAAGGGGGGCTAGGGAAAGGCATCCTATAGAAGGTAGGATTTTAATTGGGACTTGGAGGGAGCCGGGAAAGCTGGGAGGAAGAGATGAGCAGGGAGGGGGAGCATTCCAGCATGAGGGACAGCCAGAGAACATGCCTGTAGTCGGGACATAGGGAACAGCCAGGGGGTCAGTGTCACTGGGATAATAGCTGACATTTAGGGCCTACCTTACATTTTCCATGATCTGATTTGACCCTCACTTAGATTTAGCCCTGTACAGGAAGCCTCTCAATCCTCCCATTTTTCAGATGAGAACGGTATGGCTCAGAGGGTGAGTGACTTGGTCATTGGCAGGCTTTGAACCCAAGTGTCTCCCGACTCTTTAAGTGCGGTACTTTTTCTGAAGCAGCATGACGCCCGTCTCCCAGTTCATACCTAACAGCCTGGTCCACTTTATACCGACTCACTGACATTCCCTCCTAGCCTTCCTCGCTTGCAGCTGCCCTCATGTGGCTGCCTTTGGCAGGGGCAGTCAGAGGTTTGTATCCCTGAACAGTAAGATTCTGATTAACCTCTGTGAGCCTCAGTTTCCTCATCAGTAAAGTGGGACTGATAATTCTTGTGGTATCAAATATTATCACAGGGTTCTTGGGGGGCTCAAGTGAGCTTATACTTGTAATGCACTTTGCAGATTTTAAAGCCCCATGTAAATGTCCAGCATCATTACTTTAGAGCCTGAGTTATATTTTCTAGTAAGAATTTGAACTTGATGATTGCAGGTCTTCCATCTCATCCTCAGTATGAGCTGACTCAGCGCCAGTGCACAGGCTGCCCTGGAATGATCACCTTTTATATCAAGGGTGAGGTCGCACATGCAGAAGCCTTCCTTAAGAACCTAAAGGTGAGGATGTATCAGCCCAGACCAATACTGGTGGGGTTTGCGGGCACCTGAAGGTCTCACTAGAGGCAGTATGGGGCAGTGGGTAGAGAGCCAGCCAGCCTGGATATCAGAAATGCTTTGTGGCTGTGTGAACAAGGGCAAGTCATTTAACCTCTTGGTGCCTCAGTTTCTTCATTTGTAAAGTGGTGTTGCCTGCTTCACATAGTTGTTGTCTCCAGTGAGATGATGTATGTAAAATGCTTTGCAAACTTAAAAGCACTATATAAATATTAGATGTGTCATGTATATATAAATATATAATGTACATATAAATATTATATATGATGTATATATAAACATTACTATTCTTACCTCTAAAAACAGCATGATAGTAATAACTGATTTACACAGTGTTGTCTTCATAGCAATTCTGTGAGGTAGGTCATGGAATCATAGCATCATCAGTTTGGAGCAGGAACAGATGTCAGAGGTCAACCTCCTTACAGATAAGGAAACTGAGGGAAGTTATGTGACTTGCCAGAAGTCGCATAGAAGGTAGGCAGCAGAGGTGGAAGGTATTATACTCACTTTACAGGTGAAAAAACAGAGGTTTGGAGAAGTCAGTTGAGTTGGCCACGTTCACACAAGAAATAGAAATGAGACTTGATCTGGGGTGTCCTGATTCCCAAGTTCTGATCCTCCAGTATCTCAATAACTACATATTTTAAGTTTACCCCCTTAAAAGTTGAAATGTAAAGATTTTGTAAGATTTGTTTTGAACATCCCTGCAGCAGGACACAGAGAAGCACAGGGCTCAACATTCTGGCCATTACGGCCCACAGATAGATAGTTATAATAGAATAACAAAGAAAAAACAGAAAGTTCTCCTGGTACTTATCGTCCTTTCTGAGAGCATGTTTGTACATGAAGAAATTCTCCATTGTCTAAAACAAGCCTGTGCACTCTGATCGCTTCTTGTCCTGGGCGTGTTTTGTGGCCATAGGCGTCATTCGTATATTCTGAAGTATGGGTAATCACAGGTCATGGGAATTCCAGTTTAGATCCTCTTTCTTTTCCTGGACTGCTTGTGGTTCGCCCCAGCCCCAGTCCCAGCCCCAGATCACTGTCATGAAAAGATTTTATTTTACTTTTTGCCTTTGTAGAAGTTCTCAGTAGTTCTGGTTTCCCAGGAGATTTCACTTTTGGTGTCTTTTGCTGTAGATCTTCATGTTGGCCGAGAGTCTGGGAGGATATGAAAGTCTTGTCGAGCTTCCGTAAGTTGCTTTCAGTTGTTATATACTGTTTTCCCCCTTTGTCTCCTCAGCACCTTGGACAGTGCTTGGGACACAGTATGCGCTTCACAAAGGCTTGTGAATTGGTGGCCGGATTGCTATAAGTAGCAAATAATGTAAGACTTGAGTTTATAGTAGATTCTCAGTAGGAGGCAGATACTTGGGATGTTACAGAGCACTTTCCTCCCAACATTCCTGTAATGTAGGGACCACAGAGATTATCAATTCCATTTTATAGACAAAGAAAGAGCTAAATGAGTGGTCCAGGAACTCAAACTTGGGCAAGCTTTGAATTCTGGTCTTCAATTCGTAGGATCATAGATTTAGAGTTGCAAGGGACTTTAGCAAGTCATTTAGCCAACTCTCAGTATTTTACGGTTGAGTAAACGGAAGCCTATAGTGGCAAAGTGATTGATCCAAGTTCAGAATGGAAGAGCTCAGCCAGATTCAGAGCCAAGTTCTCTAACTCCAAAGCCAAACCTCTTTCTCTGTATTGTGCTGCCTCTCAATTACCTACAACTGCTTACCACCCATTCCTTTATTTTACTTTCCCAGTTTATCGATGATTTCTGTTATTGAATAACAACCATTTTCTGGATATAGACATCCCTCCTCCATCACCCATCTTCTACCTCCTTTAGAACAAATTAAAAAAGCAAAATGAAATGAAGACGCCTGGCAGTGTATTCAACGTTCTGCCAATGCAGCCCCCCACTTGCTTGCTCTGTGAGGGAGCTGTGCACCGTTATTTGTTCTCCAGGCTCACATTTGGCTGTTAGTGAGCTCGCCATTGACACTGTTGTCATCACCGTGCGCCATGTTCTTTTGCTGCCATTTAACTTCACTCTTCATCAGTTCATACGGCCCTTCATGTTTCTCTCGGTTCTTTATATTGCCATTTCTTCCTCTACGATGACATGCATGCATTCAGATGATTAATGATAGTTTATTTAGTATCTTTAAAAGGTGTGCAAGCCCCCTGAAGGCATTCCATAGGCAGGAATCTGCACATGGGATAATCTATGAGTATGAGGTTGATAGGTGGCACAGTGGGTAGAGAGCATCATTCCTGGAGTCAGGAAGACCTGAGTTCAAATCTGGTCACAGATACTTACTAGCTGCATGACCCTGTCATTTAACCCTGTTTGTCTCAGTTCCTTATCTATAAAATGAGCCAGAGAAGGAAATGGCCAACCACTCCAGTGTCTTTGCCAAGAAAACCCCAGCTTAGTCCCAGGGTGTAAGAAGACTTTGTTGTCTTAACGAACCAGAAAAGGGGCAAGATCCACGGTTCACAGGTTCAGAGGTACTAGAAGGGGCCACGTGTTGGAAAAATCGGCCGTGTGCAATGGCCCATCCCCTGGATGCCAGCGCCCCTCCTCTGTACAGGCGCAGGGCCAGGCCTATTCTCCATCATTTCCCAACATCCAATTTCAGTTACTCGCTGCTGGTTCTTTCCATTTGCGTCGTTGTAGTCATTGTTGTGCACATACTTTCTCCTGGCTTTGCTTGTTTCACTTTGTTATTAGTTCCTGTAAGTCTTTTCACGTTCTTTCTATTTAGCCTGCTTTATCATTTCTTAAGGCTCATGGATAACCCATTACAATAACCACCAGTGTCGCGCATAGCATGTTAAGAGCTGGAGGAAACCCTAGGGAAGCTTCGGCCCAACCCCTCCCCTTGAGAGAGGAGGCAGTTGGAGGCCTGGATGGTGGAGGAGGTGATTTGCCCACAGTTATATGTCAAGTTAGTCACAGAGCCTAGATGAGAACCCAGATGTCCCCCCAAGTCTCTTTGTACCGTCCTTGTGCCTGTGGTCCTGGGGCAGATTGAAGATGGAAGACGCGATGTAAGAAGAAAGCTCTGTTTTCCCCAGGATCCTTGAGATATTGGTGGTTTTGGGAAGAGGGAGCCCTTCCTGTGAGAGTGGTTCATTGCAAGGCTCTGCACCCGGCCTGCCTGTCTGGGCTTCTGACTTCCAGGTGATCATGTCGAATGCTGGTGTCCAGTATTTGTGAATAACGTTGGATGAGATATGTGAAACTCCTTAATAGCCAACGGTTCCAAAAGATGCCTGCTAGTCTTGTGAGGACACTAGAGGGCACACTCAACATATAAAATCATTTTGTTTTTAATCCTCAGAAAATGTGGTTGGAGGGAGGCCCCACTGTGTCTTCCCTTGGGAAGATTACAGATTCACTGATGTAATGAAGTGTATATACAAATATACGAACTTGGCAAATCCACAGGCAAATATATATGTATACACACATACACATATATGTGTACACATGTGTGCATACATCTGTCTGTAGGTGAGGAACAGCGCAGTGTAGGGGATTGAGGGCTGGCCTTGGAGGCAGGAACACCTGGTTTTGAAGCCCATCTAAGACACATTAGACTGTGTGATCTGGGCAAATCACTTAGTGGATGAACTTCTCAGTGCCCCAGGCTGGCAGCCCATGGAGGCTCCAGGTTAGAAAGAAGTTGCGGGGAGCAGCTAGGAGGCACCAGCCCTGGAGTCGGGAGGACCTGAGATCAAATGCAGCCTCAGACACATCACACTAGCTGTGTGACCCTGGGCAAGTCACTTAACCCCAGTTGCCTCACCCGAAAGAAGCTGCCAATCTGTATTAGCAGAGGGAGTTTTTTGTAAAATGGGGCTAATGTGAGTACCTGCCTCTAGGTATTATGGGAATCAAATGCAGTGTGTGTGTGTGTGTGTGTGTGTAAGTGCTGTATAAATTCAGCTGCGATTACCATATGGATGAGGTCACAGATCTGGGCTCTGGTACTGCGTCTCTGCCTCTGTCTCTGTCACTCACACTCATCTCTTTCTACATGTATGTATCTGTGTACAGTACACACACAGGAGCATGCTGGGGCCAGTTCAGACGGGCCAGCTCCTAAGAGTCGATTGTTAAATTTTCAGCTTAAGACCCTACGACTTAGCGCTACTCCTTTGTTGTTTGTGTAGACGTAAGAAAGTGATGGAGAAGATGGCAATCGTGCCATTTAAACTTAAAAATATATCGTGTGTATATTTTATTTCCCAGAGAGTCAATTCAATATTTCCCAGCATGTCCTGGTGCATGTGCATATGTGTGTATGCATGTATGTATGTGTCCATACATGCACAGATATGATCTGCATACGTGTTCAGAGACAGTGATGGTCAGAGGCTGCTGCACAATCTAAGGCAGAGCGTTTTTGGATTCCGGAAAACTCCTTCAAATCCTGCCTCTGACACTGGCTGAGACCATACAGATGCGGGTCACTTTGCTGCGCCTCAGTTTCCTCTCACATAGAATGGAAATATAATACCCACAGTACCTATCTCAAATGAGAGGTGTAAAGGACTTTGGAAATTTTTAAAAATACTTCTATAAATGGCAGTTGAAATTGTAAAGCATTTCTATAAGTAGCACATGGATACAACTGACCTTGGAGTCAGGAATACTTGGGTTCAAGCCTTACCTCTGACGCATAAGGGGAATAAGCATTTAGCTCTTCAGTAATACCTACCATGTGCCAGGCATAAACACTTTGTACAAATACTTCATTTGATCCTCACAACAACCCTATGATGTAAGTGCTATGTTTATCCCCATTTTGTACTTGGGGAAAGTGAGGCAGCTAAGTGACTTGTCCAGATCCCCCAACTAGTCAGTATCTGTGGCAGAATTTGAGCTTAAAGTCCTCCCTGACTGGAGGTGCAGTGTTCCATCTGCAATATCCTCAGCCCACCATGACTAACTAAGGGTAAAGTCCCCTGAAATTTCAATAGCTTTCTAGCACTAAGTTACAGATGAGTTGACAATTTGCACTAATAGATGGGGTTTCCGTGCCGGAAGTTCCCTACACTCAAGAAATCACCTGCCTGAATTAAAAAAAAAAAGCCAGTTATAGATGTAAATTTTTAGGAACTCCTCAATGTTTAATGGAATTCTTTCAAGATTCTATTACTGAACACAAAGATTCTCCTTGATTTTTTTGTTTTTTTTGGCAGGCTTTGTGGAGTATGGGTTGGGGTGGGGTGGGGTGGATTTAGAGCTGTCGGGAAGGAAGACTCCCAGATTCAAGTCAAGGCCAGACTGCCCTTCCCTCCTTCAGCCCAGCTCTGGTCTGTCTCAGTGTAGTAGTGTTGAGGAAAGAGAAACCCTCCCCAGAGCAGAGCGTCCCTGAGGATGTTGGGATGAGAAGAGCCCTCCATGTGGGTGAGGAAGGAGGCAGCTCCCAGTAGAGCTTGCTCACCTCCAGCAGACCTGAGCTTAGGTGAAGACAGGGCTGCTCCTTTGATGGAGGGCGAAGGCCGAACCCTTTGTTGCCGTTCAGGCGGCACATGCGTGTCGGTGATGATTGTGCTGTCAGCCCTCATTCCAATAATTAGGAGGCGCACGGAGGAGCGCCATCAAGGTTTGTGGCGGTGGAGACTTGGTTCTGGTCCAAGGAGATAATCCAGTCATGCCCTTCCATCCCAGCCTGGAAGTCAAGTCAACAAGCATTTATTAAGTACCTACTGTGTGCCAGGCGCTGTGGGAAGGGCTGGGGCTGCAAAGAAAAGTCATTATTTTTTCCACCTTTGAAGGTTTACAACTCTCACTGTCTATATTTTCCTTGGTATTATTAACTGTGCTTTTTAAAAAGCTGCATATATATATACTGTCTTGTAGACATTCAGCATAGTGTGATAAATAGAAGGCTGACCTTGGAGTCAGGAAGACCTGCGTTCAAATCCACCCTCAGATACTGGCTAGCTGTGTGACTGTAGGCATGTCACTTCACCACTCATTTACAAAGTGAGGCTAATAGATAGCACCTATCTTGCAGGTTTGTAAGGATACAGTGAGATAATATTTGTAAAGCACTTAGCACAGTCCCTGGCACATAGTAGGCGCTCTATAAATGCTATTATATCATCATCATCACCGTCATTACTGCTATTACTTAACCTCTCGTGCCCCAGGCCCATTTGCATCTATGGAGGATGCACCCTCACTAGAACTTTTTTTTTTCATTAGAACTTTTACTTAGCAGTATAGCACAGTGGAAAAGAAGACTGAATTTCAAATAGGAGGCTCTGTGTTAGAAACTAGACTTTCTTCCGTTCTACCATGACAATAATAATAATAATAACAATGACTAGCTTTCATGTAACACTTTAAGGTTTCCAAAGTGCTTCACAAAGATTTACTCATTTGAACCTCACAACAACTGGGGGCACGTAGGTGCTATGATTATCCCCATTTTACAGATAAGAAAACTGAGGTAGACAGTGGTGAAGTGACTTCCCCAGGGTCACACTGCTAGTAATTGAGGCTGGATTTGAACTCAGATCATCCTGACTCCAGACCCAGCACTTAATCCATTCCGATACCTAGCTTGCTTACAAGTGACCTTCGGCAAATTAACTTTTCGGGACCCCAGGTGCTTGTTTGTGAAATGAAGGGTTGAGACTAGGTTAGGGCCCCTTGACTCCTTCCTGTGTCTAAACTGATTATCCCTAGGATTCTACGAAATCAGAGCTTTAGATTAAAAAACAAACCCAAACAAGACCTTCCTCTCTGGTTAGTTAAGGACAGATCCTTCACACTGGGGCTATGGCTTACAGCTCCTTGGAGTCTCACAGTGTTTTTTTTAAGGGCAGAGTGGAGTGGGACCTTGTTTTACAGATGCAGTCCAAGATCACGTCAGCCTTTGGGACTGCCGGGTCACCTGGTAGTGACATGTTCATATGCTGTTAATTCATGTAGAGTCTTCAACAAATCAACAAACCCTGAGTAATCATAAAAAAAGGAAATCTTAAAAATTGGAGGAGAAACAGATTTTGCTCTTTTTCCAAAAGACGAAGTCAATAAACCTTGAGCTTTCCTGACTTAAAATGAAGGAGCAAATTTACATTGAGCTTGCAGGCCGCTAAGCTCCCCTTCAGCCAGTGTCCTTTTCTCGTCTACTCTTGCCTCCCCCATTATGTACTGCAACAATTGATTAGGACACAGCTTTAGGTCTACTGTTTGCCCAGTAAATGTTTGATGATGCAAATAAAACTCGCAGTGATACAGCCATTGATGACATAGAATTGTAGAGGTGTGGAGCTAGAAAGGATTTAGAGATGATCTAGCCATGCCCTCTCTTTTTACAGATGAGGAAACTGAGGCCCAGGGAGGTTAGATTGGAACAGTCAGACAAGAATATTGTTTCATTGACTTTTGGAACGAGCAGGGAATAAGTCAAAGGAAAAGATGCTTTGCATATGGCGAGGGGTGAAGGAATCCTGCCCCATTCACTGATGTGTGCTTCTTTCCCTTGCCAGGGCCATCATGACTCATGCCTCGGTGCCTGAAGAAGAAAGGCAGGAGCTGGGAATCAGCGATACTCTCATCCGGCTCTCCGTTGGCTTGGAGGACGTAGAGGATCTCTTAGAGGACCTCGATCAGGCTTTGAAGGCTGCTGTAAGTTCTTTCTCTAGACTGGCCTTTTCTCAGGTGGAGTTTTGCCTGGCAGGAAGGCATTGTAGAAGAGAGATTTAGAGGATCCCAGCTCTAGAAAGGAAACTGAGGCCCAGGGAAAGTAAGTGACTGGTCCAAGGTCCTAGGATATGAAGCCATGGCCTGCGACTCTGGAATAAGTGCTTATTCTGTTATATCACACTGCTTCAGAATAGATGAGAATTGGCCTGCATGTAGTATCAGCTATTTTAATAAACTAACTTAAAGGTAATTTATTGATAAGAAGCCATATAGTATAAGTAGATACAGCACTGGCCTTGAAGTTAGGAAGATACAGGGTCATTGTCCTCCTTTGAGGCCCAGGGCAAGTTACGTAAACTCTATGTGCCTCGGGCAGTTTCCTAGGACTTAATCTGCTACCTCATAGATTAGAGGAAGGAAGTAAGCAAACAAACATTTGTGAAATGGCTACTACATGCAGGGTGATTTACAAATATTATTTCATTTGATCCTTACAACAACCCAGGGAGGTAGGTGCTATTATAATCCTCATTTTACAGATGAGGGAATTGAGTGAGACACTGGTTAAGTGATATGCCCGAAGTCCTACAAATAGTAAGCATCAGAGGTCACATTTGAACTCAGGTCTTCAAGGTAGGTTGTGATCTGTGCTGGTGGAAGGAAGTTCCCATACCAGGAGTTCCCACGCTGACCAAATAATATCATATTCCCTGGTAGGCTTTGAGCTTATCTAGACTTCAGAGGTCCCTTCAGACTTGTTTGGGAAGTGGGTGTAGCAGATTCAGAAGGGGGAGTGATTGATAAGAGGGGTCTCTGCTTATACAAGCCTCTGCTAACAGAAGTGTAGTTGAGACTTCTCTGCCTTTGGCTCTCCTGTCCTTCCCACTTGAAAGTGTTCTGTCCTCCTTTGATTTTCCCGGAGACTTCATCTGCACTTTTCTGTGCCCCATAATCACCTGCCTTGGGTTGTACTTACTTGTACTTATGTTCTTTCAGTAGAATGAAAGTTCGCTGAGGGCAGTGACTCTGTGTCATCTTTTGTCTTTGTAAACCTAGCTACGGGTATAGTGCTACTTCATACATGTTTGATGATTGAATGAACGAGATGATACAGAGTCCAAGGATAACAGCAGCAAGGACGTTATCCTGATCTAATCTTCCTTTTTCTTCCTTTCTTTTCCTTTTCCTTTCCTCTCTCCCCTCTTCTTTGCTTTTCTTTCCATCCTAGTTTGCCATTCCTTTCCCTTCCCTTCCATCCCCTCCTCTTTCCTTTTCCTTCTTTTCTTCCTTTTTTTTTTGTGGGGGTGCAGTGGAGAGCATAGGACTTCATTAGTTGTGAACTTGGCAGGAAGAGGAGTCTAATTCCTAGAGTTTCATCACCTTATTCCTTCTAGCAGAAAATGTTTTATGAACTGCCATGTCTGTGCTTTGAGTATTCAGTGTGAAAGGAAACTCGGAAGAGTACTTCCTTCTTCTGGGCAGTCTGATTGAAGGAAGTGAAATAGACTCAGAGAATTAGGAGTTGAAAGAGCCCTTGGAAATCATTAATCCAGCCGTTAAGGGAACCCGAATGTCTTTGCAGGGATGCCGACAGTAGGAGCGTGGATATGGTGCTCAAAGGCTTGGGCTACATGTGGAAGCACTCCTGTATATATTATTTCATTTGATCCTCGCAGTAATGACCCTTCGAGGCAGATGCTGTCATTGCCTCCATTTTACAGATGAGGAAATGGGAGCAGAGGAAGTTTGTGACTTCCCTAGGGCTACACAGCTTACAGATGCCTGAGGCAGGATTGGAGCTCCATTCTTCAAGTCCACAATTCTGTCCACTGTGACACCCAGCTCTGACAAGTGATCAGCTGGCCTCTACTGGAACTCAGACTTGGCGGTGGGAGGGTGAGGGAGAGCCTCATTTCCTTTGAATGGAGCTCATTCAATTTTGGGATACCTCTAAGCAATCAATTTTTGCTATATCAAGGCAAAATTTGTATCCCTGTAGCTTCCAAACGTGGTCTGGGTTTGCTCTCTGGGACTGAACAGAATGAATCTATTGCTTCTTCACATTCTTGGCATGTGGGTATAATGTTGTTTTTTTTTATCTTTCATTAACACAGCACCCTTAATCTATATGCGCCATAACTGGAATTCCAAGACGTGCTACTGAGAGCCTGGATTCCTGGAATGATCAAGTGGTCAGAAGATCGCTAATTGCAGAGACTGCTAATGAGCCTCCAGTGGTTTTCATTTGAAGATTTTCAGTAGTGTCTCCCACATTAGGCACCTCATTACCTTTTCTGCTTTAAATTGTCAGTGATTGGACATCATGGTTCAAGATGCTATCTTCTCTCTCTCTCTCTCTGGTTGTGAAATTCCAGGTCACTTTCTGGTGATGCTTTTCCCTTTATTGGCTATACTTTCCCTTCTTATCAAAGGAGGCTAAATTGTGTTCTGCCATTTTGCGTCTTCCGTTGATGCCATAAAATGTCTTTTTATTCTCTTTATGCTCTGATGGCAATTCGTTGTTTGATGGCCTTCGGAACAAGTTACACGACTGAATGAAGTCTCCGAGTTCTGCTTATACACACAGTACCTAGAGCATCTAAGTGGTTTACAGAACATGGGTGTGATGCCAAAATCAGATACTTGAAACCATAATGTGAAATTCTACTAGCTTTAAATTGTATCTTTAAAATCTAATTTTTCTTTTTAGTAAATATACATTGCGGATGTGCCTTGCTTTGTATTTTATGTTCCAGTATTGGGTGCCACTAATAGTAATTTTGCCTTGATAGGTGCTAATTCTTTCTGTTGCAGTCATCAGTTTGCACAGGTCTCTTAAAAATCAGTCAGAATGGCGTTCTGATCCACCTTCCTGTCAATATCCTAGCCATTTGAGCCTCCTCCCTCCCCCAGTGGATTTTTACATTTCCCCTTTTACTTGAAGGCGTGATACGCTTCCAGAAGGAATGAACCTTTTGGGAATCAAGCAGTGCCTTCTCTTCTGCAGTGTTGGCAAATGCAAGTGAGCCAGGAGCTCCTTCCAACTCACTCTCTAATTTCAGAAGGAAGTCTTTATTTTGCATTTTTCCCACTTTTGAGATTCCTTCTGGCCACAAATTCAGGCTTGCCTACTCATCTTGTGTCAATTGTCAGTATCTCATTTTAGATCTCTAAAGAACCATAAGGGAGGTGGCTCCTCTCCCCGCCCCACACACCTGCCTCCTTCCTTCCTCTTACATTGAGCCTGAAACAAAATCTCAGGATTAGGGGTGGTTGGGAGACCGGAATGAGAGCCTTCAAAGAGAAGCCAAGAGTTGATTTTTCCAATGTGAGATGGTCTTTACTGATAGGGCAGCTTGTCGCTTTCTTAAATCTCTTCTTTTGGATTGTACCTTGATGACTTCCTAGTGTTTCTAGGGCTTACAAAATGCATCTGTTGTGAGGTAGGTCCTCCAAGACTTTGCTCACCACCTGTACTTCAAGGATTGCTGTTTCAACAGTATTGGCACCTCCCGCTGTAGGAATTTCCTCTATCAATGTAGCCCCCTCACTCCTGCTCTCATCCCATACGCCCCCGGTCTTCTTGAGGGAGGGTAGGTAGGTGGCTAAGTGGATAGAGCACCGGCCCTGAAGTCGGGAAGACCTGAATTCAAATTTGTCCTCAGACCCTGGGCAGTTCACTTCATCCTGTTTGCCTCAGTTTCCTCATCTATAAAATGAGCCGGAGAAGGAAATGGCAAACTGCTTCGGTATCTTTGCCAAGAAAACCCCACATGGCGTCACAGAGACTGAAATGACTGAATGACGGACTTCTGGAGGAAGGTAATTAATTGTTATTATTCCCATTGTGAAGATGGTGAAACAGGCACAGAGCGCCTGAACCTCTGAAACAGAGGTCATGTCAGAGGCAGAATTTGAACCCAGGTTCTCTGCCTAGAGAGGTACTGCTTCCTCATCACCCAAACCAAAGAAATCACAGATTCTTGAAGTTCTGATGGACGAGTCTGTTAGGTTACAACATGACACAACCTAGCCCCTTACCCTCATTTGGGGTAGAGGGAACATTATTGGATGTAGGAAAAACTCAAAAAGCATCTTGGAACCAAGAAAAATAAATATGACTTTTTCCAAAGCTTCAGGAATTACTCAAAATCTACATTTAGAAAGTTTTGACAGTGAAATAATGCAGACAGCATCTCCTCTGGCACCCACAAAACAAACCCCCCCCCCCACACACAACCAGAAAGCCGTCTTAAAACAGTGAATAAGAAAGAAAATGATGGATTGCTTCAGGATTGAATTTGAAAAACAGTAGAAGAAAAGGTCAGATTTCTCAATTTCAATAAAAGCATTTGATTCAGTCTCCATGTTTTGTTCACCAAATCAATTTCAGAATCTCAAAACCAGCACAGCCTCCTCAAGGGGTCTGGCTCCCCACTTGGTGGAATGGAAGAATCAGGGCTGGGGCAACGGGGATTTTGAACTGGGAGGGACCTTAGAGGTCATCCAGCCCAATGCTCTTGTTTTATAAAGTAGGAAACAAAACAGGAGCTAGAGAGAAATGATTTGCCCATGGTAGCACGGCTTGGTGGTGGTGGAGCCGAAGTTTGAATGGAGGTCTTTTGACTTTGCCAAATCACAGAATCTGAGAGTTGGAAGGCATGTCAGTGGCCAAGCGTGTCCAAGCCACACACCAAAGGAATCTTCACTGAGTGGCTGCCCAGCCTCTGTTTGAAGACCTCGGAGGAGGGAGACCCCACCATCTCTCGCAGCTGCCCATTCCATTTTGGGCTAACTAAGGATTAGAAGTTATTCCTGCCATCTAACCTAAATTGGCTTCTTCATTGGTCCTGGTTCTGCCCTCTGGGGCCAAACTGGGCCAATAGAAGCCACCCCACCCCCCACGCACAGCTGCTCGTAAAATGCCTGAAGACAGTCACGGCCCCCTCCCCCCAAGTCTTTTCCAGGCCAAACATCCTCAGTTCCTTTAAGTGATTCTCATTCATCTGAACTCCAAATCCAGGGCTTCGTCCCTGTCCGTCTGGAGTCAGACGCTGATGAAGTCCAAGCCCGTCCTGGCCACTCGTTTCACTGAACCGTCCCGTAGTTTCCTCTTTTAGGAAGTTTGAGCTGGTCTGTGGCCTAATGCACAGGGAGCTAGCCTTGGCCTCGTAAAGGCCAACCTGAAGCCCTGCTTCAGACACATACTGGCTGCGTGCCCCTGGCTGGCGGCGCCCCCGGGCAACTCACTACAGCTAGCAGTGGTGCAACCATTACTGAGCTTCACCAGTGGAAGTCCTGCGTCTGTCCCCAGCCCCAGTGCCCAAATCAAGGATGTGTGTGTTGCTTTAAGAACTGCATTATTGCATTTGAGCCCCATAACAATCCTTTGAAGTAGTTACCAAGGGTGTGATTTGCACCCATTTACAGATGATGAAACTGAGGATGCCAGGGTTCAGATTTTCCTGAAGACACTTTGTAGCTGTGTGACGCTGGGCAGGCCAGTTGTCTCCCAGCCTTGGTTTATACATCTGTAAAATGGAGATAATAGTAGCATCTGCCTTACTGGGTTGTTGGGAGACTCAAATGAGGTCATCTTTACAGAGCACCTGGCCAACCGACGAATGATTCTGACAAATTGGGGCAAAGCTCAGGTTGTCTCTAGACTGGGGTAAGTCATTGTAGCGGGGGGAATGCACGTATCGCTGTAAGGTTTGCAAGCCGTTGAGCCTCCTGCTGGCCGGGAGTGGGAGGTTCTTCAGTGATCAGCCCATTTTACAGGTGAAGGAAACGAGGCTGAGCTCCGGGTGGCAGAGTCACGAAAGCACGGCTGGATGTGAAGTCAGCGGGGGCGTCCCAGGCTGCCTCAGCCACTACCTGAATGACTGGTGAAGTCTCTCTCCTCGGGGTGGGGGGTGGACGGCTTCTGGGGTGCCCCCACCCCTGATCCGCGATGCCAGGACGCCCCCACAGTCGCACAGAGAGTGTAGGGGAGGATGCGGGTCCGAGGCTCGTGCTCTCCGCTGCCCCGTGGAGAGGAGGGCTGTCGCTGCCTCGCACACGAAGGCTCAGCGCCGTGAACCGCTGGGAAGCCCCTCCGTGGCCTGGCACCTCGGGGGTTGCCACCCGACGTTATATAAGGGTGAAGGGCTCTGGTTTCACGGGTCGTGCCTTGCAGGCGCTGGAGGCTGGGGCCGTGTATTCACTTCCCTGGCTCCTGAGCTCTCCTCCCTCCCCTCCCCCTCCTCCTCCCCCTCCTCCCCCCCCCTCCTCCTCCTCCTCCAAACTACTTTGCACAAACTCTGTGTTGACTGATCTTAGGGTCACAGGTTTAGAGCTGGAAATGCCTCCAGTTCAACCCCTCCTTTTACAGATGAGTAAACTGAGGCCCAAGGACCCCCTCCCCCTCCTCCTCCTCCACCACCAAACTACTTTGCACAAACTCTGTGTTGACTGATCTTAGGGTCACAGGTTTAGAGCCGGAAATGCCTCCAGTTCAACCCCTCCTTTTACAGATGAGTAAACTGAAGCCCAAGGAGGTCACACGAGTGGTCTAAGATCATCCGGGTAGCCGGCAGTGGCATGAGAATTTGGACCAAAGTCCAACTCTTTGGGCTACTAGGGGGCGCCATAGTGCACACAGCGCCAGGCCTGGAGTCAGGAAGACTCATCTTCCTGAGTTCAAATCCGGCCTCAGACACTTCCTAGCTGGGTGACCCTGGGCAAGTCACTTCACCCTGCTTGCCTCAGTTGCCTCACCTGTAGACTAAGCAGGAGAGCGAAATGGCGAACCACTCCCGTGTCTGCCAAGGACACCCCAATGGGGTCACGGAGTTGGGCACGACTGAAACGACTGAGTAACAACAGTTCTGTAAACCCAGCTCTGTCCTCTGTGTGACTTGGTTGTATCTTCCCATTAGGGTGTGAGTGCCTTGAGGTCAGGGCTTGTTTTTCTGTTGTCTTTGTATCCCCAGCATGTAGCTCAGTGCCCGGCACATAGTAGGTGCTTAATAAATATTTGTTGGGGGCAGCTAGACGGCGAAGTGGATAGAGCACCGACCCTGGAGTCAAGAGGACCTGAGTTCAGATCCAGCCTCAGACACATAACACTTGCTAGCTGTGTGACCCTGGGCAAGTCACTTAACCCCAATTGCCTAAAAAAAAAATATATTTGTTAAATTAAATTCCAGCATTTAGTCTAGTACTTGGTGCATAAATGCTTAATCAGTGTTTTTTGGTCGAGTGGTTAATTGATTGATAGATGTGTCCTTCCCCCAGGTGATCACAGTGGAATAATAGTAAAAGTTCAGGATCATCTCCCAGGCCTCTCACCACTACCTTGTTTTACCTCTTTTAGGAATTTTTATTTAACCTGTAAGGGAACCTTCCTGGTCTCCAAGTCAGCAGCTAATATTCTTACACACATACACACACACACACTCTCATACACACCCCCCCACCCACACACACACTCTCATACACACCCACCCACACACACACACACACACACACACACACACACCCCTGTAACCAGCAGTGGAGACCGAGGACCTAGTTCCGGTCCCGACTCGGTTACTCACTCCCTGTGTGAGCTTGGCCAATCGTCTTAGCCACTTGTGCAATGAGAAGGGGCAGTGGGCCCAGGTGGTCTCTGAGATTTCTTCCAGCTTGAAGCCCCTGCCGACCCCCCGAGCTGTTGACCTGTCCCTCCCTCTCCTTCCCCCTGGGCTCTCACGGCGGGCC